CGCTATAAATTACGCAAGTTAGAACGCATAAGAAAATCAAATGCTGTGTGGTAGAATTATTATAGCCAAAAGAACTATTTATACTGTTTAGTCTATATTGTTCGTATTTGTAAGAGACTCTACCTGAATTAAGTGCCATGTTATGCTTCTTGAAATGCATTTATGTACTCGACATCGCAAATTTTTGTTGAGATCATACTACTATTTGTATTGGTTACTGTTGCGACTAAAATGTAATATTTATAATAATGCGATATTTGCGATTACAAATCAATATTATCAAATTATTTGTAATATTTATTTAAGAACTGTGTTATAACATATGAAGCATATCTTGTCAAAAACATTTAGGTCACAAAGTCGCTTTTTATATGTTAAACAAAGAGTAAGTCTAGAGCATCGTTATGCATCAAAGAAATTATTTAAATCGACTAAATATAACAGAGAATGCTCTCTGTCTATTGTAATTTACTATTTAACTCCAAATGATAATTCTTCCAAATCATATGTACAAATTATATTGCAGAGAAAAAATGAGAATTATTGCTTGTACATTCCAATTAACGGTAGCATTTTATAATGAGGATGTAGGAAATGTCAATTTATAGAATATCTTGTCAAATCTTTCGATTCCGATAAATTGATTGATGAAGAAAAAATGTATTGTATTATTTTTAGATGCGCTCATGGAAATGAAAATTGCGTAAGTACAGCGTAGATTGTTCTAAGCCTAGAAAAGTACGTTTTACTAAATGTAAAGTATTCTTATTTTCTAGGAAGAAAATTTTAATGTGGACTCTTGATTTCAATAAGTGCATATACATATAAATGAATCGATCAAAAGTTATTTGCACAGTACAGCTTTGATTTACAATTAATATAGGTACAAGTATATATTTAGTATATACATTTAATATATATGTAATTATCCTAAATACGTGTAAGAATATGCTAAAGGAAATATCACACATGATGTATTTAAATCGACGAAATTTTTTTCAATTATAAAAAATTTAGTAATCATTTATTTATATGTAAATGTCTATTTTAACGCGTCTATAAACAAGTATTTTACTTTATTTTAGTATTGATTCTAACGTAAGGACTTTATATGATTTAAGCAAGTATGTCTTCGAGATCATTAGTATAAGTTTAACTATCTAGGTTCGATTTTTAATGGTTGTATTATAGTTAATACGAATTTTCACCTTCGACAACTTCTTGTACAGAACGATGAGAAACATTCGTGTACAAAATGTTGAAAAACACAGATAGTTTTAATATGGATATACTTGACATAGCAATCACACGATTACTGCAAAACGAGTACTCCATGTCAATGTTGTTAGCAAAAGATACGTGTATAAATATTATAAATATATCAATATACATAGAAGACATAACTAATTGTATTATAATATTATTTGTCGGACAATTATGTTTGTTAAAAGGATTACTTTGCGTCGGACGGTTCGATTTGATTGTTACATTAATTACTTTTATTTCTCAATCTAGTCCAACTGAGATTAGTAGCAAACAATAGCATTGATATATTTTGTTAACTGCTGTGTTGTGATTATTTCCTACACTCGAAGCTCTAACCGTCGAAATAAGCTGTATTAATCTTAACTTCTTCTAATGTATTGTGTAATATTTGGAGATCAGGATCGAAATCGATATAATTTGGCTGAATTTCACACAAGATGAATAACATGGATGCATAATAATTTTCGCGTTTATTTACATTATAAATAAAACGCGATAATTGACATAAATGTCCAGATTTTCGTGTAAATTATACCGATTTTCATCCTCGCAAATCATGAATATCAATGCGTCGTTAAGCAACCGAAATGATACGACATATAAATAATACGTTTTTACAGCCGAAAAATATACCTGCAGCGTCATAATAAATGTTATTAACACACGCACGTTTCTTACACATCGCTACATTTTCTTAAATTCCATAAAAGTAATTTTAAGATTATACGAAATATATCTTATAAAAAAAGGAAAAAACAGATGGATTCATAGATATAGTTATAATTCACGATGCGACACCTTTATCGTTACTGTGATTTGCGAGGTAATATGAAAAATATATGTAACATGCATACATTGAATGTTTGAATGTTTGCTGTTAAATTTTTGATGAATTATAACATAATATATACATGATAATGGTGCGTCCTGTATTATCTTTTTAAATGATAATCGTCCTATTTTGCTTCCAACTCTGTTCGATATAAATAAAAGTTTAACATGTCTAATACTTCGCTCGATAAAAACTCAATTTGAAGCGAAGTTATATATGTGTGTGTGTTATGCTTTTTTCTTGAAAGCAAAATTAAATCGTCGTGCTTTATATTTTCTTTTTTTTTCCATTTTTCCCGCAACTATGACAGATAAGTTTAAAAAGAACTTTTTTAATTGTAAGCAATTCTCAGAATAACGTTTTACAATCGATTTTCAATCGTGACAAAATTGTTTGCTGTAATTATTTATTTCCTTGTATGCTTTTTAAAGGCTAAAAATTACGCGTATAAACATCGTTATTTTTTTCAATAATCTACAATAGGTCTTTCGTCAGAAAATTTTATTGGATTTGATCTTTTTTGTATTTTAATTTTTAATATTAATTATCATAACTCTAGTATGTCTGTAATATTTATATTCGAATTTCCATACCGAGAATATAATCGAGAATAACAATTTGAATACATAACGTATCATAATTCATGATATAATAAAATACGATGTTTTCTTATATCATGGTATATATGACTGCAGGTCGCTTTTGTTATCGTTTTTGTTCCGAGTTTATGTTGCAGTTTGGTTTGAGTTATATTTGACGTTGATGTTATTTTAATTTTTTATGTGTTTGATCGTAAGGAAATGCGCTTAACATGGTTACCGGAGAGGACTGTTCCTGCGCTGACACGACGGAACCTTCCAATTTAACGTCCTTGCGTTCGGATGACGCTACCTCGGCCATAAATTCCGACGTAAATGCGGTCTGCACCGAAACGGTCGATAAGAGGACCGACACTGTTGAAGAACCCAAAGGCATATTGCCATATTTCTTCTACGTTCTACGAAAGCAAATATATATACAAAGCGTCTCAAAATCACACCAATTATTTTTTTGACAGCAGATTCTTTAGTCGAACAGTCAATTTTTTTTCTCAAAAATGTCAATGCATAGAGGGAAGTCTATTAATATCTTGGGCAGATCTAAATTAGTACATTGTTTCAAATCATCTTGCGCTAAGTCTATTTTATTTATTTTTATTTTTTGTTAAATTATTCTATATACATTTTGTATGCAGAAACGGATTGCAAGTGTTCCGATGCATCGCTGATTGCAACTTACTGCGTAGCTGCACCAGTCGATATCCCGTCGACGGTTCCAGGAAGACCGGATCGCCAGTCACAGCGAAAAAAATCGAGGAGCCAGCCACCTGCAACGCAACTTAAATCGAGTTTCCCATGCCTTTGTCATAGTCACAAAATGTAACATCCGTCCGTTGCATCATGTATCTTATCTTGTTAGTCTATCTATTTCTTAAAGCAGATTTATCGTTTCAGCAATGGCTACGTTTTGCCTGTGAAACTCAAGGAAGGTACATAGAGACGCCTCGAAATCAAGATGCATCGAAAATAGTAATGATGGTTGCATTTTTCAGATAAACCACAATCGCGTCCATTCTGGAGCCGCTTAGGCTGGAAACGGCCGAGAAACGGCAAAAGAGATAAGATGTATGAGATAAAGCTAAAACAAGTACAATGTCCCTATTATGCCAAGATGCGTGCAAACGGCGCGCTAAAACAGCACGTCGACGTGCTGCAGTCACCCCACGAATTTCAACCTTTCGTCTCCCACAAAGAACTGTCGGAAGGGATACCGAGTAAGAATGCCAAGTACGACACTGTCAAATCGAAACCACCTAAATATCCAATGAAAACGAAACTCAAGAGAGAAGAAATAGCGGAAAAGATCGAGATCTATTATTTTGATCACGGAAACTCCGCGTAGGTATTAACCATTCGACGAAAATATTTCTTGGAGAACATAAGGATGTTCTCCAATTTGCTTCACGCTCTCTTGCAACAAATTCGTCTTAATTTTTAGAATAATTTAAATTTTTGAATTCATATTATAACTAAAAGATCAAAGAAACGATAATCAATCATTCGGACATAATACTTTTCGCAGATATTATCGAACAACCGATTGCCATCCTGTACTAATTACGGACAAATGTGCCGAAAAGACCGATCAGGCGGCAACTCGTTTTTGGGCGGAGATCTTCGGCACGATTCACATCGGTATCGCCTTCGTCACGGCCTTTATTCTGCAGCTTTTACGCTTCGTGCTCTACAGCGTGATCCGGCCGTTGACGGTGGGGATCCTTCAATTAATAGCGGATTACTTTGTAAAACCACTGCTATCTATCCTGTTCAACGCTCTCGTGCAACCGATATTGATTCTGCTCTACAATATTGCGACGTCATTGAGGGATCTCTGCGAACCGTTAGCCGAAGCGGTGGGTTTATTCCTGAGGGAGATCGCGAATCTCTGCGCTGCAATCAGGATCGTGGAGGTGAAGCACGTTCACGCGCCGACCACTGCTTGCACTTGAGCTCACAAGCGAAAAATTAGAGATTCTTGAATCTTGAAGATTGAGTTTTAGTAACTTAACTAAAGACTCGAAGGATTTTCGTGAAACTGGGATCACAGACCCACTTCCGAGGGAAATCTGTATTCCTGTGTGACGCACTTTCAAGTAACCAACAACACATGCCTTAACACCAGGTATATATTTGGTATTATTTTAACTTTACAATATTATTATTGTATCATTTTTTACAGAACAAATTATCTCTTATAGCAACTAGCTTTGTCAATAATAACCAATGTTCGTTCTTTGTCACTCTTGCGCATTCTCTCGCTCTCTTTCATCTTCTTTCTTTCGTTCTTTCTCTCTCTAGTACAATCTCACAAACAACAAACAGAGGAACCTAATTACATCATGTAGTTGTTCACACTTTGCTATGTACAGGTACTACTGGTATATTTTTTCTTGTTTTTACAGAATCACTGTTTTCTCTCATTCTCTCTCGCACTCTTTCATTCTCTTTCTCTCACTCTTTCGTACTTCTTTTCGTTCTTACCAGCCGATCATATCGCAATAAACGTTATTTTTCGCATGTAATCTACAAAAAGAAAAAAAAGAGACAAAAAAGAAATCGAATGAACGAACGTATCGTCATCTATCGTCACCTAGTCTCAGGAACTGCAACCTCTGCTCGCTCGCTATGACGCATCGCAGCGATCTAGGTGGTACTACTAGTGTTCGTAGTGGTCGGAGTCTCCTGGATGGCTAAGGTCTGCGAAGGCGCGGATGTCGAGTCACCTGCAAGCAAACAACCAAAAGAGGGATCAATAGCATAGAATCGAGCATGTATCTCTCTGGGCCGTATAATATAGTCGACTAAACATACACTTAATACACCGTAATTGGGTTCGTCCCTTAATCGCGCAATTGATCCGTAACAAGGGAGTCTTCTCTCTGTGTATTGACGTCAATTCCACCGTTGTCGATAATGAATATCGTAGAAATATCAAAAGCACTTTCATACACAGCTTCTATTCCTTTTGTAAATAAATACTCTCTAACTTAATCTGAGCCTTGATTTAATTCAATCATGTACGTTTCGACAAAAAATTATAGTAACGAGAAGGGTTATAGTAACGTTTCCTGAGACATGACTTATTGATCGTCAAGAAAAAAAAAGTACACTTGTCAAAACGCGCAATCCAGTCTCGGATCTCTTGTCGGCATTGCGTAATCGGCATCGATCAATACCGCATCGGTGGTAACAACGGTCGCGGTGATAGCGTATAAAACTTACCCAAGAGGGCGGCCTCTAAGTCCCCCAGGATCTCCGTCTCCTTGGGGTCTATAAGGTTGAAGCGTTGATTAAGGAGCGTGAGGTGGGCGAATACACAATTGAGGTGAGCGTGCAACCCCAAAAGCGCCACCTCCCTAAAGTGGCAGTGGTAGATGTGTGCCACTACGTGGTACAGTAGCCGCAGGATCTTACGCACTATCGACTCGAACGAGCTCGGGAACTCGTTTGCTGAAAAACAGTGGAAATTAACATCGTCGCAAAATTAACATTGATTGCCTCGGAATACAATTATATAACGTAACCACGAATGAAGTCAATAATTATTAAAGTGAAGTTGTAATGTTTATTAATTAATTATATTGAAATATGCTCCAGACATTACGAATTAAATACATAGCGTTAAAGAGGACGACTTACCATATTTTGTAGGGAATATAGTTTCGTCGCTAACGGTGCGTTGCGTAAATGTCATAACATAGTCTATGTATTGTGGCGCCGCAACCCTCGTTTTTTTTCCCTTTTCGTCGAACCATAGATACGTTCTGGAATGATAAATCAATTGTCACAAATCGATCGATTGCTTTCAATCCGTGGTAACTTCTATGGAGCTTGAAACGCCTCGGGCAAAGAAATACGTACCTTAAGCCAGGACCGGTCATGTCGGGACAGCCCGTCATGGTGCAAAACTCGGATATTGTGCCATAGACGAGATTAATATGGTCGAACAATGCGAGGGTATGCGACGCCAGCCATTCGTTGTAGTCCAGGCCGGGCGGTAGGTCCACGAGCATCCTCAGGTCCAGCTCCGGTAGCTGCCTTTCGAGGGCAGCCTCCTCCAGGTACAATTTCGGATCCTCCGTGGTTCCCGCATCCTTCTCCTTTCGTCTGGCCTTTCTGCAAAACGAGAAAGCAATCGTACGATCAGCGAGACAAACCTTGGAAAGTTCTTTCAGTACGCTTAAGCCAATCAAGCAGAACCATGGGTGTCGCGTGTAAGAGGCGTAAATATGTACATGTAACACAACACAGCCTGTGTGTATACAAGATTAATGGGCACGCTGTCCGAAACCAAATTGGAGGAAATCGATTTTTCTTTATAGAATTTTATTATTATAAAAATCGAAGAGTCCATAATTAACTAAATTTGATTTTGAACAGCTTATACAGTGATAAGAGAATACTTGCAAAAGGGGCGAGAGAGAATCGGTTCTTTTATTATAGAATTGATGACTATACAGAGAAAATGACAGAGAAGATTAAAATAACGAAAATGTGCCAAAATATAAAGAATCCTAAATATAAAGAATAATGTTACAGACGATAACACGATGATATCGAATACGTCGTGTCGTTTATAAAGAAAATCTCCGGGGAAATCAACAAAATATTTTTACAACCCATTATTTCACGCTAATTTGTGGTCCCCAGATTGATCGGAACAGATTGGACAGAGCGTTTTGTCTTTAATCAACTGACGCGAATTCATTAATCACATCGGCGAATTATCGGATTTGCACGATTACCCTCGACGCTTTCCGAGTCTATTCAATTTGTCTTCAATTTATCAGCAAAACCGAACGTTGTGTTTTTCACATCACGCCCTCAAGAACGAATCGAATTCATTTGCGTAAATAAGACACGATAGAGAACGTTTCTAACATTTGCTTAATTAGAAATTTTTTTAATAGAAAGTCACAAAATAATGTTGCTCAGTTGGAAAACCGGAAATAATTATAAAAATCAATTGTTGCAATGCGCTATTATCGTATGCAAAATAGAATTTCACCTCGCTTTTGCCAGTAAATAACAATAATATAATATAAAGCGCTATATTTTACATATTAATAAATATATAGGATGTTCCACTATACAATAAGAATTTAATTAGTCTTTTTACAAAACATTTTTTTTTCTTTAAAATAGCAAAAATTTTTTCAGATAAAATTAATTAAAATTAAATATACTGTTATTGAATCTTCTGAATATCACGTAAATTTTTAATAATGAAGTCAGAAGATTAAAAATTAAGACATTGATTAATTAAACTTTCGCAAGAGGAAAGATTACTCCAAATAATTTATTAGCAGAACTGTATTCAAGAGACATCCTGCATATTTAATACAAAAAATCTATACTGTCAATAAATTTTATAAAAAATAATTATTAATACATACACTGAAAAAAAAGATTGGCTGCTGCAGCAAATTAGATGGTAAAATATGGCATAGCATTTTTAATTGGCTACAGCAGCTGATTTTTGGTTGCGTTAGCATATCCGCAATGTCAGTATAGGATTTCGATTGGCTGCTGCAACCAATTAAAAATGCTATGCCATATTTTACCATCTAATTTGCTGCAGCAGCCAATCTTTCCTTTCAGTGTATACATATACATATGAAAAATTAGATAATAAATATAGTAAAATCTTATTACTACGCTGGTGCAAAAGATTTGATGTATTTGTCAAATAAAGTTAAAAACAAAATTAGACAATTTAGTAGCATTTTTATTAACTAAAATAGCCATCGCTGCCTTTTCTATCTAGAAAATAAATTTTCAATTGCTTTTTCGAAAAATTCAGATAAGTGGTGTTATTTTATTTAAAAATAAAAGGACGACAAAAGTTTTGCACCAATGTAATAATAAATATCAAGAAAGTAAATGACAATTCTAATTAACGTGTATCGCACGCAACTAACACAGAGTGTCCTCGTTTGCACGTGAAAACTAAACATAACAACTGATTTTCGGCTCGAGCTTGCTCAGTACGCAGCAGCCGCGTCGCACATTCAGCTTCCTGCCAGTGAAAAATGCAATTACATGCAATAACGATAGCAGCGATGTTCAGCCACGTCTACACGATCCAAAGCGCGCACAAATCTCTCTCTCTAGAAAGCACACATGCTCCTGGAAAGAAGCTGCATCTCCGCATAGAAAGAAAAAAGCTGACGTAAGTCAGCCTATAGATATACAAATTCATCGTCGTCCATGACGTATGTCTCTAATCGCGTACAACACAGTCATCTCGTACAATAATACTCGTCTATGACGCTATCGATGCCTCATCAGGCATATTACGACAATTTATTACGGACACTCGATTCTTCCCAATCCGTATATCTCGCATAGAGAAGATGCGCTTTAATTACACCGGACTAATTCCACGTTACGGCACGCACATATGCACATATCTATACGATATCGTTTGCGGGAGGAAAAAAGGGAACGGCGGAGTCTAGGGCGGAAGGGATAGGAAACTCACGCAACTAGCTCGCCGAAGAGCCTGATCTTCCTGTGGCAGGTGTCGAGCAAGGAGAGACGTGAGGAGGAGGCGCTGCTCGAGCTGCCGGCGCCGG